CTCAAAGGGCATGGCCTTCCTTCAACAGTCATGCCACCTCCTAATAAAGAGGAAGTTTGGAGAATATCATCTTGCTTGGAAGACACATTAGGATTTAGCAAAGCCCTCTGTTTTCTCTCCTTGGATATGGTGTGTCATTCCCCTAATGTATTAAACAAATAAAATCGAGCTACATCATATTTGTTTGCTCTGGGACAGTGGTCAGCAAACTCATTAGTCAACAGAGCCAAATATCAACAGTACAACGATTGAAATTTCTTTTGAGAGCCAAATTTTTAAAACTTAAACTATATAGGTAGGTACATTGTTATTAACTTAATTAGGGTACTCCTAAGGCTTAGGAAGAGCCACACTCAAGGGGCCAAAGAGCCACATGTGGCTCGCGAGCCGCAGTTTGCCGACCACGGCTCTGGGAGAAAGGCATGGCAATCTCGCCTTTGTGAACTTTACTTCTGAGAATTCTCTATTTCATGGACTCATCTGCTACTGAATTGCTGATGTGAATAACTCAACTCCTCACTCACTTACTCTTTTCCATAAGCCTGTTGCTTCCTAACAAGTCCGGTGTTGGCCAGCTCATCTCATGTTGTTACTGGTCACCAAGATTCTTCTTTTCCTGAGAACACAAGGTCAGCAGGAAATGTACCAAGGCCATGCTGGAAAATTGGGGGTGGGGGTCGGGGAGACCACAGTGTTGCCGGTATGCTTACAGAGTAGTATCTGCTGTGTGGTGTGGGTCTGCATTAATCAGGAAGCACAAAACACAGGAGGAGGCAGAATTGCTTGAATTATTATTTTTCATGGTTGCCAAGGCCCTTTGGGGCATGGATGGGAAAGGAATTATGTGAAACTTCAAAATTATAACTCAAAATCAGGGTTTCTCAACTCTGGGGCACCCAACCTTTAGCCAGTGAATGTCTCTGATGTGCAGGCTGGTCTGTGCACTATAGGATGTTTAGTAGCATCCCTGGTCTCTGCCCACTAGATGCCAGGAGCCTCCCCATCTTGTTAGGCCGAGTAAAAATGTCTTCATTGTCAGGTGACTTCTGGGAAGCAAAATCACCCGCATTGAGAACCACTGCTCTAGACTAAAGGATAACAGTTTACATTTTTTCTCTCCCTGATCATTTTAGTTCTAGCATCTGGGTTCCCTCTGTTCTGATAAGGCATTTCCAAATTCTCTGAACACAGAGCACTTATGCAGAGCACAAGACCTTGTGGACTATCCCAGTGATTCTCAGGGAAATGTGAGGTTAGGAAGACAATTTTGGATTAATTATTTCTGACTCTTGTTTTCTACTAAATTCTGGAGGAATTTCAATCTCTCTCTCTCTCTCTCTCTCTCTCTCTCTCTCTCTCTCTCTCTCTCGATCTGTCTCACTCTCTAGCTCTATTCATTCATTGATTTACCTTAAAAGCAAACAGCTTCCCAGTTCACTTTTGAATGCGAAATACTGACCCTTCTTTGTCCCAAATCTCTCTATATACAGCCGGCTGTACAGGAAACAGGCAGGGTTTGCCAATCCCATATTCAACCTAAAAACCATTTGATGAGACTCCCCAAATCTCCCTGCAACAAATAACATTCTGAATCTGCCCACGTTTTCTCGATTCTTAGCTTCCCCTCCAGGGAGTCACCGCTGCCCACCTAGGCCAGGTTTTCCCTCCTTGCGCCCAGAATAACACGTCAACTGCTGGGAACACCTCGAGCCCTTTTTATTTCTCTCCACAGTCACGTATCGTGTTCTGTCTCCCAGAAAGGATGAACCAGAAAGCATGCTTTTTTGGAAACAGATTTTTCATGGGAAGGAACTAAAACACCCTGAGTTGTCAGCAGCCTCGTCCGTGCTCTGAACCCCCAGCCTCGTGCTAGTTCAGCTGAATCAGAGGACAACTTCCCAGTCACCTGCGAGGGATGTTCACGTCTCCTGGCGTGTATGTTTCACTGAATACCAGCACTGCGTGTGCTGCAGCTAAAACAACAGCCCCCTTTTCTAGGGCCATTTCCTTGCTCCAGAAGTAGTGAGCAAAGAGACCAATTAATAAATAGCATGGGTGGAAACGGAAGGACATAAGGTTTGCTTGGGAAGAAAAATGAACATTCTTGCTTCTTGCTCGATGCTAACTTCACCCCGGGACAGCCGCTGCCACGGGTCAACACCACTACGGGTGAGCCGGGCCCTCCGGTGCGTGTCACCACAGGCCACAGGCAGGGGCAGGGATCCTGGTCTCTCCCCTGGCTGCACCGTTGAGCCCTTATCCTTAAAGGAACTGTGTTTTTGACCAACTCTCTCACTGTGATTGAACACACCAGCTCCCCAGCAAGGCACAGCCCTTGGAGTTAGCAGCAGCAAGACAAGCCCTAATTGCTCCATTTACATAAAAGTAGAAACATACAACTTCTAAATATAAATCTCTGGCACATCCTGCCTTTTGCAATTACAGTGAAATAAGGTAGCACCGTTTCCCTCCCGGCTCCCTGTCGCAGCAAGCTGCTCGGCCCGGTTCTCCAGGGGCAGCTTCCCTAGGCCAGAGGGGAGCCTTGCAAATGCTCCGGGGAGGAGCTGGGCGCTGTGTGAAGAGGCCAAGCAGGCCGGCCGCCCTAGGTGGGACCCGCAGTGGCCCCGGGTCACCGGCTAGCACAGGAGCTGCTGCCCCCCCGCCGCCCCCCCTCTCCCCCCACTCCACAGGAGGCGTCAAAGCTCCTGGGCGCCTCTCCCTGCCCAGCAGCCAGCCTGCGGGGTCCCCAGCCTGGACCCTGACACTGGCTGTGCTCTGGGCCCTGGCGCTGAGCACTGATTCCGACATTCCCAGCTGCGATCACTGAACAGTTATTCCCCCCCCCCCCCCCCCCACTCTCTGAATTCTTTAGCTGCCAAAAGGGGGCAAAAATCAAGAGCTGCTCTGAAAAGAGCTTGCCCTTGCTGGTGCTCCGGGTAAAAATAGAGGCGGCCGCTCTGCAGGGCTTGGCGGTCGCGTCGCAGCGTGATCCCCGGGAGCTGCCAGCAGGTGTTGCTCAAGGTACAGTAGCAGCCGAGCCGCCGGCAGCAGGGCCGGGGGTGGGGAGCTGCTGGGGGGGAGGGGGCAGGAAGTGAAAGAGAAACCAAAGCGAGGAAGGAAGAGGAGATGCTTGACAGAAGCTGGGCTGACCCGCTTACTTTGGACTCTGGAGTTTGGAAGGAAAACGATCACTCCCAGCCCGGAATATTCCAGAGAAGTTATTTTAACACGCCCGCTTCCCCTACCGCCCCCACCTTCACTTCCACGGAGCGAGGAGGCATTTCCAGGGTGCCTCAGCGCTGAGCTGGGGGGATTCAGGTAGAGAATGACATCACAGCTGGTGGGCATCTGAGAGCCTACCGGGTCTGAGTCACACATGTAGGGCGGCTCCTCTGGTGAGGGCGCTGTAGATTCCTGTGACACCAGTGTTTACGAAGGCATCGCAGGAATGGATCCCACTTTATGGATGAGAACACTGAGGCCTTAGGGAGCGGTCAGTATGCAGTGGGACCTGGGGCTCATCCAGGTTGGTTGTTGCCCCCAAACTCAAAATCAGGGGTTATTTCTGGGACAGGGGGGTTTTCCCATGGGGGAGGAGCTGAGTTCAGAGGCCTCCCAGGCCCTTGCCCTCCAGGAGGGGCTCATGCGATAGGGTGGGGGAGTTCCTTTCTTAGGGAGAGTCTGAGTCCATCCAATTCCAAACTGATGGTCAGGTGTGGCGTTAGCCAACACTGATCCTGTTTCTATCTTTCCTTCTCAGATTGCCTCCGTTCCTGTACAACCTAATGATTTAATTTCCTACTTTATTTCTGCATATGCAGTTCTTAGAATACCCCCCACCCCCACATACAGTTCTGCATCCACACTTTCTCTGTGTTTGGCCAAGGCGGATCCTCTTACACAGAAAACTGATGGTGTCCTAGAGGAACCAGCTTCAGTTATACATCAGGAGGCCAGAGCCTCTAGATGTTGCTGGTGGGCACAGTGAAAAGTTTATTTTATGCATGTTAAGTCCTGCATACAAAACAACATATATGGTCATATGGCTTTCATTAGCTCCCAATTTTGCACATTTTATTCAACTTATGGTGAGGACCCAGCTTATGCTTCAGCTGTACTCCAAGCTACCCTTCTCCACCATCCTTGTCTGAAGATTCCTTCCTCCTGTGTTATTTTCGACTTGCTAACACCCCCCCGCAAAGAAAATCCCAACCAACTTAACCCCTATACGAGGAATGCTTGTTTCTTTTCATCAATATCTTGTTATGTTTGTAACAATTTAGAAATCCTAAGACTTCAAGATTTGATAAAGAAGGATAATAGATGAAATTTTTTTTGGGGGGGGGGATTCTAAAGACTGGGAAGGATACTTATAATGTTTACCTGCAGAGAATGACTATTTCCAAAGTTCTTGGTGATAAATGATTTATGAAGTAGGCATTCAATTTCATGATGTAAAATAATAGGGTTGACAGGGCAGGGAGACCATCATCACATAAGTATACATATTTTCTTTTTTTTCCAATGGAATATATTTTATTTAAAAAAATAAAGTTAGAATCCTTAAAAAGGGTACTGTGAATTTTCTTGCCTGTAAGAAACAATAAAATACTTTGTAAATAGAGGTAATTTCATGAAGTAACAGATGTTTTATGTGAAGACATAAAACTGAACCTGAATATAATGAGAAGTGTGTGTGTGTGTGTGTGTGTGTGTGCAAATAGTAAAAGAAAAGTTGGAAGTTGATACTCAGTGAGATATAACTGCTTGATTCCAGTAGTTTTCTTTAAGGTAATCTAGTCAGCCAGAGGTTTCCTGCCTCAGGGATCACCCAAAAGCAGCTAAGAAAAGACTTTCCATTAGATAATGATTATGAAATATGCCTCACACTGGAAAAACTAGTCATCTGCTGATGTCATGCAGCTCTAACCAATCCCAAACAAAGCCCCAGCCCTCCTGTTTGAGGGGTACCAATGTGTGAGTGTACAAGTAAGTAGTACAGTATAAAAGTTCACAGAGCCAATACCATGAAGAGGAACTCAGACAGCTCTAACCACATGATACAAGAGGCTGCTGGTGAAAGAGAGAGCCCCGGAAAGGTAATGCTTTTTAACTCTTACTTGTGAGCTGCTTACACAGTCATAGGCAGGATGGCTAGGAGGAATGTTACAACTGACCGGCACTTCATGCACGTTATGGTTTTGTACCTTCTTGTATTATTCAGGCAGGTTGACACAGCTTTTAATAGGACAGCATTGCAAATAGATTATGTATTTATACAACCTATTCAGCACATGTACAGGGAGACACATGCCAAAGAGAAAGCTATTTGTTCAGAGTTACATTCACAAGCAGCAAATGTAGGGGACACACACATCCCCGCAGAGAGAATCCTGATGCTGATAAATTGCACTGAATCTAAATGCTACTATGAGGACTCTTGTGTCGTTTGGAGCCGTTCAACTTTTAGTTCTATGTCAGACTCGCTTGTAAAACTTAATTGGACTACAAAAGGCTTTGGATACTGTATCTGTAATGCCAAATAGCTAGATTCTATTAAGTATGATATGGCAAAGGTATTTTATTAAACAATTATAATGCAAATGTCCCCTTTCCCATTTTTTGTCACCACCCCTCCCTAAAAAATTAGGCTGTTTAGGGAATGCTGACAGTCTTAACAATATCAGCAGAGTAACTGACGTTCCTGGAGGTGAAACTCCAAAGGTGATACAGGGCTGGTACCACAGAAAGTCTTGCAAGTAATTGTTTTTGGAAAGGGGGGCAGTGCATGCAATTCAGGAAACCGTCCTTACTTGTGCAAACTGTCACTGTAACTTAGTGCCCAACTTTCTCACCCTCCTCCCCTGCCCTCCCATCTCAGGCATATAGTAATGGCATTTATTAACTTTCTCCTCCCCCTTCCCAAATTGTCATGCTTGACTGTAATGCTCTGAACACGCTAGGTGTCAGATATAAGCTGACTGTATCTACAGAAACGGAGAGGGCTTATGTGTGGGAAAGAAACCCAGAGGGAAGGAGAGCTTTAACAGATGGACCTCTTAAAGATACTTCTGCAAGATAAAAGCATTAAGACAGAAAATGAAAAAAGGGGCTGCGGCGGGGGCAGGGAGGAGAATGAAAAAACAACAACCACCTCAGAGAGGCATTGTTTAAAAATTCACATTTTTCTTTGACTGTGAACACTGAAATCCATGATGATTTCATCTGCGCTGCTCCTTTGAGAGAAAAGGAGGCAGCCCAGGGGCCAGTCCGTGACCACACTGGTCCAGGATGGGGTGGGGTATGGAGGGGCTGCAAAAACCCCCACATGACAGAGAAAATCACTTGCCAATGTATTTTAGAGATTTTTGTCCCCCATAGGACCAGTAATTCAAGTTGTAAGGGCGTACTATTTGTGTGACATAATGTGGGAAAGGCCAAGTGAATTGTGCATTTTCTCTATGAAGTCAGGGCAAGCGGTGGTGGGCTGTCGTGAGTGTGTGTGTGTGTGTGTGTGTGTGTGTGTGTGTGTGCAGGGCAGGAAGGGGTGGCTGCTGAGGAGAGAGAGGGGAAAGTGCTTCAGATGACAGGAGCACATAAAACGCTGCCTGCCTGCCTGCCTGCCTGCCTGCCTGCCTGTGGATCTGCAAAGTGCCCCGCGGCATTTTGCAGTTGGGAAAAGTCGAGTGTATTATGTGACCCCAAACAAAAGTTCTGCTGCGCTCGCTCCTGTCAGATCGCCTGCCAGTGTTGACGATCCTGAGCGTTTAACTCTGAATGAATGGGGAACCGGGAAGATCTCTGGGATTCCCTCAAGCTGGAACTCCTGGCTGGCCCTGTGCCCCGGAGTCCCCTGCCCCTCTTCCCGACCTTCCCTACCCTACCTGGCCCCTGACCTCCGGCAGGCACCCTGAGCCCACGCTCCAGGCCGGTGAGCTGTGAGTCCAGGGCTGTGGCTAGGAGAGTGCAGGCGGTGGGGGCAGCCTGTGCAGTGAAGTCCTCCCTGCTGATTGAGACAGTGCCTTTACTTGGGGCATTTTTTCCTCTCCAAAAGAGGAAGAAGGTGAAGCAAGGGGACTGGGCAGAGAAAAAAAAACAACAGTAGAACAAAATTAGGAGAATGTCTTTCCGAAGGGAAAGTGGAACTCCCGAGAATGGAGATATTTGAAGAGAGGTGTGTGTGAGGGAGCCGTGAGCAGCAGGGAAGCAGCCTGTCAGAAAACGGGCTTTCCCTCCCCTTCTAATCACAGCCTCTACTCACAACTCCCTCCCTCTCCCATTCACTCACTCACTTAGGGCCAATCGTTCCCTCTCTCCCTCTCTCCTCTCTCCTTCTCTCTCTCCCTCCTTCCCTCCCTCCCTCTCTCTCCCTCTCCCCTCTTCTCTCCCTCTCTCTTCTGTCCCCTTCTCTCCGCTCTCCCTGTCTCTCCCTCCCCCCCATCCTCTCTGTCTCTGTCTCCCCCCCACCCTGTCTCTCCCTCCCTCTCTCCCTCCCTCCCTCCCTTTTTTTCTCTCTCCCTCCCTCTCTCCCTCCCTCCCTCCCTCCTTCTCTTACTCGGAGACAGTCAGAACTCTCCTCCCTGACAGCCACAAACCTACAGCACTGACTGCATTCAGAGAGGGAACCTGCAAAGAAAACTTCACAGAAAACTTTTTGTTCTCGTTCCAGAGAATTTGCTGAAGAGGAGAAGGAAAAAACCCAACCCAAACCAAACCAAACAAAAAACCTGTGCGTGAGGGGGGAGGAAAAGCAGGGCCTTTAAAAAGGCAACCACAACAACTTTTGCTGCCAGGATGCCCTTGCTTTGGCTGCGAGGATTTCTGTTGGCGAGTTGCTGGATTATAGTGAGGAGTTCCCCTGCCCCGGGATCCGAGGGGCACAGTGCGGACCCTGCCTGCCCGTCCTGTGCACTGACCACCCTGCCCAAGGATGTACCCAGCGCTCAGCCGGAGATGGTGGAGGCCGTCAAAAAGCACATTTTAAACATGCTGCACTTGAAGAAGAGACCCGAGGTCACCCAGCCGGTGCCCAAGGCGGCGCTTCTGAATGCGATCAAAAAGCTCCATGTGGGCAAAGTGGGGGAGAACGGGTACGTGGAGATAGAGGATGACATCGGAAGGAGGGCAGAAATGAATGAACTGATGGAGCAGACCTCAGAGATCATCACGTTCGCGGAATCAGGTGGGTGCTGGCGCTGGGGCTGGGGCTGGGGGGGGGTGTATTTCCCTCACAGTCCTAGGAGCAACTTCTTTTCCCTCCAGCTGTACTCTGCCTGGGAGGGTCATTAGTTATTAGGTGAAGGTGGCAGGCAGGCGGAGGGGGGTGCGTGACGGGGAGAGGACTTCAGAGAATTGGAATTCAGGAGCCTGGCCGGTGGTGGCTAGCTGACACTTGCTATGTGCATCGGGTCACCCGGAGGAAGCCCCGCGGCCAAGCTGGGGCTGGGAGCTGGTCTGGGAGAGGCTCCCTCGCCCGGGTCTGGGAAGCCAGGTCTGAGCAGCCTGATGAAAGAAATCAGGGTGCCTGGGGGACTCAGGAGGCTTCCGGACCCCGTCCAAAGTTTGTGTGGGGGCAGGGGCGGGGTGGGGAGTGTGGGATTGGGGTGGTCCGGCACCGATGAAGTCACTGCCTTAAACAAATCTTCCCTTGGAAAGTCCAATCAGGGGCCACCTCAGAGGAGCAGGGCACATCTCTGAGTGACATCCATTTTTACCTTCAGAAAGTCTGTCTATAAGAGCACAGGCATCTCATTCTAGGCAGCCAAGAGCGGCTTCAGGGGACAGTTGCCATTGCCCCGGCAGTCACTTTTAAAACACTGACTTTTGCTTTCTGAGCTGAGAGAGAGAGAGAGAGAAAAGAGTTTTGTTCTCTGTAAAGTTACTAAGCGCTCTCTGCCAAGGAATGCAACCTTGACAAAGTGCTCTCAGATACGACACTGAACTCTCACTCAATCCTTAAGAGGAAGAACTTTAATAAATAGATTCTAATCTCTGGCTCAGGACCACACTAACCTGTTGCTGAATAGAAAATACCTGTCAAAAGTGGAGGCGGAGATCTGCAGCCAGGCCACTGTTACTTCTGTGACACGGATCCTTTTGCATGCCTCCCGCCCATGCATGCCCGGGCACCCGGATATGTTCATGCCATGTTACCTTCATGGGAAGGCCAGGCTAAGGAAGCATATCTCTTGGCAAACCTATTTGAAAGGAATGCCATTGTTGTGTTTGGTAGAGCATATGGCCAGTGAAGTACGTGCAGGGGCTCCCAGCATTTCTGTTGGAAAGTTTGCCGCAGCAGTGTAAACATTCAAGGCAGCACTCAGAATTTCCAATCCTGAAAACCTGTTGACTCAGATGTTCTGTTTTCAAGAAAACCTTCCAAGACCTGGGCATCCTTTTAGGGGAGCAGGCAGCCTGTTGGTTTCCTGGCTTCCCCCCTGTTGGAGAAGCCCTGGTGTCCTGCAAGCTTCCCGGCAGGGTAGTTTAGCTCTCTCATCAGAGCAAAATTCTTTTAAACGTCTTACTTTTTCCCCCTAAAACTCTTTCTGGATAGAGCCGCGAAGGACATGATGATTAGGACTTTATTTTTTGAGGAAAATAAGTCAGGCTGGAGTTTTCAAGTTGCCACCCAATTTTCCCCAACCTTTCCTGTGGCAAGGTAGGAAAGAGAGTGTTTAATGGCTTTGGGTCCTGTGCAGGGCATGGATTCCAGCAGTCCAGAGGTCTGCTCCCTGTCCTGACCAGAGGGACCCTGTGTGTTTTTATACGCCAGTTGCCACACCTGATGGCCTTCATTGCAGCTCCTCCTCAATTGCCTTTACCACATCGTGTGGCTAAGTATACCTATGCCTTTGACCACTTTTAATACACACCTGGTGCTAGCAACATGTCCTGCTTTCTCACTGAGCTGACTTGTATAGCAAACCGCTCTCTTGGCATTGGGAGATTGTGCAGTGAAAGAATTTGACCTTTTATATATCTTTTTATGGACTTCATCTCAGTGCCACTCTTTTTCTAAGTTATATGAAATCTTGTCATTTTTTAAAACTTTTCTTTTTAGTTAGTGTTTTTTTAAATTGAGAGAGAGGAACAGAGATGGAGAGAGAGAGAAACATCAATGTGAGAGAAAAACATTGATCCATTGCCTCCCCTAGGCACCCCACAACCTGGGTGTGTGCCCTGACCTGGAATCGAATCAGTGACCTTTTGGTGCATGGGGTGAAGCTCAACCAACTGAGCCACACCGGCCAGGGCTTAAAACTTTTCTATTAGGTGTTTAGTTAGAAAGAAATTGAGCTATTTTTTAAAAAGGTGGTCCATTTGACTCACATGTTGACTAAAGTTTAAGGTTAGTAATGGAAAACGACTCCTGGTTGAGTTTACAACTCAATTTTGGGTGAGCTGCTGGATTCTAGACAAGGTTTATTGCACTTGCTTATTTTTCCCATCTGAGAAGTTTCACACACCAACTTCAAGTTGTGTTAGTATGATTTCACAGATTTGATGATTGCTATATGAACAATCTATTCTCCAAAGAGAGTACCATGTCAGTATTTTACTGCTATTTTCCTGGGAAAGAAATTTATCATCTTAATGATTGTAGTGAATATATGAAAACATCTTATTGCTTTTGGGATAATTCAACTTTAATAAAATTCAAAGTATGTCAAGTATCAAGATTTTTGGAGAATTAGCAAGGGACGTTTAGTTTTCTTTCCCTTATAAACTATTTTATACAGCATAGACTCCAGTCAATGAGTGTCACCTGCACGCATGCCTCAGATGCATCCCATAGATGCACCTTTCAACTACAAGATTCCCCATAGTTAGTTTTCGCTTCTAGTCTCTTTGATGGTTGAATAAAGCCAAGACATGGCCACAGCAGTTGAAGAACTGCAAAAGTTCAAGTGCTTAGAACTCTTTGAACTGATTCTGTCTCACTGTGCTCAGGTGGAAGGTGCCCCATTTTTGTAAAACTGATGTGAGTTGTTAAGTGGCCAGGAATCACTCTCAAGCTCTCTGCAATGTGTTCCAACCAACAAAAATGACATTATTTTTATTTATGTCACCCAAGATTGCTCTGCCATTCTTTGCATGGCTGGCACAGAATCCTCGGTGTTTACGTAAAGACCTTAAAGGAAAGGAAGATGTCAAGCCAACACTCACTACGATTGTCATTGAAACTAAAGTCAGTGGCCTTCTTGACTACTGTATCTTAGTATCATATTTTGATTTGTGACAATAGCTGGTCAGTCAATGTTTAATGACAATATATTGCTGAGTCTCCATATGCTGCCAAATTTATAGGCTGGTTCTGGTAATTAAGTTAGCAATTGATAGCACTTGTTGAAGAAAGACAAATGAAACCTTAAAAACTGGGAAATGCATACACAGTCAGGTATGGTTGAAAGCAACGCGAATTCTTCCCCTTTGGAGAGTCTAGTGACAGAAGGTGAGTTTGAAATGTACACTTCCCAAACAGGGGTCTAACAAGGCTTCTGGGATGACTGTTTCCCCCACCCCAAGAGAGCTATCTTAAGGTGGAGTTGACTTCCACCATCCTATTCCAGGCTTCTGAACTTTTCTTCGAAAACCCCTCACTGAAGAGTGTTTTCACACACTTTCTTCTCTGAATGATGGGAAATGATGGGCCACAAGAGGGCGCATTCCAAAGACTTTTGCTTCTTACCAGTTAATCTTTTAGGGAAACAAAATTTCACCTCCTGGAAGGCCCAGTCTGCAGCACGCTAATCTTAGTGATTATCAGTTACTGCTTTCTTCCTCTCATCCAGGAAATGTTAGGATTTTATGGGGAGGGAGGAACATGGCTACCTGTAATACATTCAATGAGACAGAAGGAAAAGGAATGGGAATTCTAGTGGTGCATGTGAACTTTCTCAAGCTCTATGGAAGACAGTGGGATGATAAATTTCCGAAGCAAACAAAACAGTACGTGGAGAAATGTGACCATGAATCATCAGCCATACCGATTTGCTCACGCATCTCCCCATAATACGGCTGCCTGGGCTCTTGCAAAAAAACATCTTCCTTGTCCCCGAATTTTGTTGCCTCATTTGCCTGTCTTATCAATGCTTTTCACACACAACAAATGACAAGTGGATGTGAGCAAGGAGGAAAAAGCCTATTTATTTAACGCCTTGTGAGAACACAGTGTGCAGTTTCAGAGGATGTGTTTGTTTCCAAACTGAGAGTGTGGAGAGAATGGTGAAGGAAAGAGGCGACAGAGAACAGAGGTTGGGCCTGTGAGGGAGGTGCATGAGAGCGGGGGTGGAGGATGTCAGGGGAGAAACTCAGTTTTAACATTCCGAGAACTGGGAGTAATACCTTCCCAGGCACTTCTCACGAAAACACCTATTTGTCTTGGCCCTTTTTGCTAAAATATACTTGATTTGCTCTCCGAGTTGTAGTTTAGAATTCTTTATCCTGAACTGGGTCCTAGATCTCAAATCAAGAGTAAAAGTTCCCAGGATCTTTGGAAGGAGTTTCTGAAAGTCTGCGAGTTGAGCCTTAACAACTTCTTCTCCTTCTTTTAGGAACCTAAAACCCCTTTCTCTCTAAATATTTAACCATCTTCTTTTTCATTTCTATTTAAATTAAAGTTCAGGCATGTGGGTGACCACTGACAATTCCATAGCATGTCCTTAGCAAATACATTAAGGCTGAAAAATCAATCAAGATCATTTATGACCAAACGTGCAGTTTTGCTACAGACAGGACCCTGGACCGCAGGTGAAAGGAGGCATAACCGCTCTGTCCCCACTGGCTGCTTCTGCAGAAACCCCTGGAGGCAGTTCGAGTGCAAAGTTAGTGCTTCAGGAAACACACACGCTGTCACTGGTGGCTCTGTATGCTCCCACCGGTGACTATACCACACCGAGGCACAGGGAAACCTTGGCGAAGAATGGGAAATTAAATGAACAGTCATATTTTACAGGGAGTCTCTTCCCCACCAGATGAGTTTAAATCCTCTATAAACAACAAGGCTTTCCACATTAACATTAGACATAGTACCCATAGATAGAAGGGCATCATACTTTACGCAGGACCCTGGTGAGGAAAACAAAACAAAAAGGAAACACTGAGTGTATTGCTTAATTCATTGGAAATGTTCTAATGCCTATCCGCCCACAGATTTGAGTTACAGGACTTGGGGGATGAGCAGCATCCTGGTGTGGGGGAAGGGAATAACGAGGGGCTGGGCAGCTTAACCCTTTTATGATGGGGATACTACCATCATTTGAAAAATCCCGAAAGCAGAGGACAGTCTGTTTTCAGGTGTCCTTACTTCCAGCTCCCACAGTCTTCCCTCTTTCTAATCCCGCCCACCGGCAACATTTCAAAGGTGTTCCCTGTAAGATGCAAAATTTAGCTCTCCTTCCCATTTTTAGGCATTTTTTTTTTTAAAAATCTCCCTTTGGTATATGTCCACTGAGGTTTAAGTGATGAAATATTATCACCCACATGGATTTGTGTGGGACTTTCTTAGTGAATTACTCAGGCAGAGCAGGCTGTGATGCAAGCCTTGCTCACAAGCCTCAGGGAGGAAAAAATAGCATAGAGGCTGAAAAGGATATTATCAGAGTAGGTGATGAAAGGTTAGCAAAGCCACTAGCGGTATCTTATTAAATAGGTAATAGTGGAGGAACCCAGTGTGCGCCAGTAGAAACTAAAATGCTGTACCTGCCCACAAAGCATCATGGGAAGGCTTCCATTTCATTTTTTACAGCAGGAGATATTTAAGTCAGTCCTGAAACTGATTAGTAATTGATCCTCAATTAGTAATTGAGCCTTAGGTAACCTTCTATTTTTCAAATTGTTACGCACACAGATTTGAAGAGTGAACCGTTCTGAAAACATCACTGCAGTATAGCAATCTCTCTCAGGTAATAGACACATAAAGGGAAAAGAACCAAGAAGCTAGTTATATTTTTCATACCTAAGCAATTGGAAGGCTGTAATTCCTTCCTGAAGCCTACAACCTTGACAAATATTAATTTCATCTCAGCTTCTAGCTGTCTCATTCTCCCCACCCCCTTCTGCAATGAAAGCTAAATGTAAAAGAAAAAAAATATGCACTGTTTAATAAGTCAGAACACAATAGAACTTTTAAAATGTACCTGCATGTAAGGTAGATTTTAAGAAGACTTGATTCTCTCTCTTCCCCCTGTTCTCCTGAGCATTATGGCAACAGCATTTTCACGAAATGGGATCTCAGTGTTATTTTATTCCTGACAAAATATCATGCAATATACAAATAGCAGTTCCAGAAATGGACACCAGGAGAAGGAGGCGACAGGCATGTCAATTAGTGAGGGGAAAATCCAAATGTGAGAAATATGGGGGAGAGATACAGCATGCAGGCAACGGACGGGAATGCAGGGAACCGTCTTCAGCTCAGTTAATGAAACCAGGGCATAAATCAGCGCCGCTTCTCCCCGCGGTACCAGGGGATGCCATACAGTCACTTCTCCGCCAGGACCGGGATGAAAGTCATTTTCTGATGACTCTCTGATCCTAATATAACAGCACCTGACAGATTGAGTCCCCTCTAATGAGTACTCTCTTTGTACAATCCTCTCTCAGGAACACGAAATCATTTGCTTCTGAGTACAGCAGCCTGTGAAGAAGGGGTGGGGCTATCTCATGCATTAGAAACCTGATCTTGTGAAATGAGAGGCTGTCCTGTAGGCTGCTGCTGGAAGTAAGCAGCCTGGGGCCCTACAAATCCATTTGCATATGCTGCCACTGGCTCATCTCCAAGGAGCCCTCCCTCGACCCCCCTCCCTCTACCTCTCACCCCCCAGCATCTATAAACATCTCTGCACTTTATTCATGGAAAGTCCAATGTGCGGGTTCAAATTGCCACCTGTCCCTTCTCTTACCTGAGGGCCATCTACCGTCACCCTCAGCCCCTCCAGTCAAGCATGGGTCAGAGCAGAGCAGAACCTGTGGGGATGAGTTATCTGAAACCCAGTGCTCCCATCCTGGGGACAGGTCAGATGCTTCGGTTTCAAACTCATACCTAGAAACACACACACACACACACACACACAGAAAGAAAAACAAAACACAACCGTGTGCCCTCTGGCTCCTCTATTTTAGCAGCCACTATCTCTCTGTCTTTAGAGTGGCATCCCACACAGTTGAGGGTTTCAGAAGCTGGCCTGCTTAGAGGCAGAAGGGAGAGCAGGAGGGACTTGTTAACATTCTCCAATAGCAGGACCTGTGGCCTCGGTGTGGGGAGCCTGCCACTCCTGTGGGCTGGTCTTCAGAGGCTGGGAGGCTTTGGCAGCCTCTACCTCTGGTCTTGGGAAAACCCTGCCTACCACCTTAAAGTCAGCTGCTGACTGTCTTCCTAAATTTAAATGACTAAGCTCTCTTCCTGGAATCTTCTCTTTGCTTTCTTAAAACAACAAAACAAAACCGAACAACGACAAAAACCCCCCACCAATTTTTAGCAAAGGGGAATCCTGGATTCACTTTTAAAAAAAGTCATCATGCTTCGTAAAAAAAGACAGCTTCCCCTCTAACTGCTCCTCGCTCTGGTGATCTGATCATAAACCCAGCTTTGTATTCATTTCAACGTCTGCCAGCGACCTGAGGTCAAAGGAGCGCTCCTCACCACTGCCATCAAGGCCAGGGGCCTAGCAAGTTTATATAACAATGCCAGGGAACCTTTCCTATGCAGCCCTCCTTGGCCCTGACCTCAGTGAATTTACCACCATCATAATCACTGTGTGCAGAGTGTGTTAAATTAAGAACAGGATCTGCAGTGCACAATGCACAGAAAAGCTGCCTTCTGCTGCAGGGAACTTGAAACTGTGCCTAGAATTTATGGTACCGTAAACATCTCAGGGTGGAGAGTGATAAGTAGGGCCGGATTTCCGTTAGCTATAGAAATCCGGGCAGAGGACCCTCCTAGGGAATTGTAAGTTCTGAGATGAACTTATTTGAAACTGTTCTCAGGTTTGTACACGGAATGCATGTTTGCCAGACAGCTATAAGCAGGTAGTTGCAGGAGGGGGTCATGAAAAGAGGGCATGTTTCATATACTACCCAGTGGTGAAGTGCAAGTGAGGAAAAATATTTCATCAACCAAAACTTCTAGTCTGAACACCTGTACCTTAGAGTACTGGTTGCCCATGAATAAATAGACAGGTTCTAGTGGAACGAGAAGAAAATAGGTGACTTTCTTATGTTTGAGTTAGGCAAGAACTGAGTGGTTGCAGAATCCAATCACTCCACCAATGTAGGGAATTTCCCTCTGTTAGAGCAGTTGTTATAACTGGTGCTTATTAAGTTGCATTAAAGGAAGGAGACAAAAATGGGGGATTTAGAGGTAGCAGGTAGATCTCTTAATATAAAAAACTCAATGCTAAGGATGATGCCACCCGTTAAAAGAAATAAATGAATTGCCTACTTTCTGCTAAACACTGTGCACCATAGGTAGGACTTCAGACCTGGGTATCCTAGACTAGACTGGCAGGAGATGTTAGGGAAGGCTTCTAGAGTAAGTGGTGTCGTCTCTTCTGCAATCTGCTCTTATTAAGAGCAGCCCCTGAGGGTTGCATGTTGAGAGGAGTATTCTAGGTAGAAAAAACTGCAAGCATGTCACTGCCCAGAGGTAAAGGGATGCATGGGATGCTCCCAACTTTGCATATTTGTGTGGGAATAATATAGCCACAGCTTGCTAGAGCTTACAGTGTGTTTTTATTTGTGTTATTCCGTTTGATCCTCCCAGGCCTATGGGAGAATGGGTCAAATGTCATAGGTGACCCCCACTTGATAGAAGATGAAACTGAGATTAAGCAATTAATGAACAGATGCAGCCCCCTGCAGCCCCCAGACACACTCAGTTCAAGGCCATGCTCTATCTAGAGCAAGAGTTGAGCAACTTTTCCTGTAAAGGGCCAGAGAATAAATATTTTAGCTTTGTGGGCCAGTCTCTGTTGTAGCTACTGAACTTCATATTAAAGTGCAAAAGTAGGTGCAGACAAACCTATAAAGAAATAAGCAGAGCCGTGGTCCAATAAAACTTTATTAATTGGCACCGACCTTTACATTTCATATAATTTTCACGTGTCACAAAATACAATGTTCCTTCAATCATTTAAAAGTGTCAAAACCTGTGGGCCTTCATTTGCCTTTGTTGCTCTCTGTTCCAGATGGTGGGTAACAGAGGCCCGGTGGGGCCTGAAATGAGTGAGTAGCAGAAAACACAGGAACTAACCATGTCCCCTCTCTCTTGTGCTGTGTTTCATTCTCAGGCACTACCAGGAAGACGCTGCACTTTGAGATTTCCAAAGAGGGCAGTGACCTGTCCGTGGTGGAGCGTGCAGAAGTCTGGCTCTTCCTAAAAGTCCCCAAGGCCAACAGGAACAGGACCAAAGTCACGATCCGTCTCTTTCAGCAGCTGAAGCACCCGCAGGGCAGCTTGGACACAGGGGATGAGGCCGAGGCCGTTGGATTAATGGAGGAGAGGAGTGAACTGTTGATATCGGAAAAGGCAGTGGATGCTCGAAAGAGCACCTGGCACATCTTTCCCGTCTCCAGCAGCATCCAGCGGTTGCTGGACCAGGGCCGGAGCTCCCTGGACATTCGGATTGCCTGCGAGCAGTGCCACGAGACTGGTGCCAGCCTGGTGCTCCTGGGCAAGAAGAAGAAGAAAGAAGAGGACGGGGAAGGAAAGAAAAAGGCCGGAGGAGAAGGAGGGGTGGGAGGAGACGAGGAGAAGGAGCAGTCCCACAGACCTTTCCTCATGCTGCAGGCCCGGCAATCGGAAGACCACCCCCATCGGAGACGGCGGCGGGGCTTGGAGTGTGACGGCAAGGTCAACATCTGCTGTAAGAAACAGTTCTTTGTTAGTTTCAAGGACATCGGCTGGAATGACTGGATCATCGCTCCCTCTGGCTATCATGCCAACTACTGCGAGGGTGAGTGCCCGAGCCATATAGCAGGCACGTCGGGGTCATCGCTCTCCTTTCATTCAACCGTCATCAACCACTACCGCATGCGGGGGTACAGCCCCTTCTCCAACCTCAAGTCGTGCTGTGTGCCCACCAAGCTGAGGCCCATGTCCATGTTGTACTATGACGATGGGCAAAACATCATCAAGAAGGACATTCAGAACATGATAGTGGAGGAGTGTGGGTGCTCGTAGAGGGCCCAGCCCAGGGGGAATGGGAGCAAGAGTTGTCCAGAGAGGACGGTGGCAAAATGAAGAAATGTTTAAGGTTTCTAAGAAAAAACCAGAAAAATAAGAAATTTTAAAAATAATAAACTAGAAACAAAACCTGAAACAGATAAAGGAAGATGTGGTGGAAACATTCCCTATCCAGGGCTCAGAGATGAAGCAGTGAAGGAGATGGGAATTGAGAAGGAAAGGCCGAACGGAGTATCCTTCATTTCTTCTGATATCAAAGTGATATCAGTCGTTTGAGCAGGAGTATGGTCCTCTCCTTTTCAGTTCCCTCTCAGGGTGAGCCTGGAAGTCACCTTGTCTAGTCTGCAGTAACGTGGGCTGGCACCACCCAAATAGCATCTATAGAAAGCCATGAATTTGAAAGGGCCGGTTACAGGCACTTTCCCACCCAGTTACCCAGGTTGTAAGGTATGTCTGCGTGACCCTCTCTCTGTGTATATCAGTGTGCGTACACACACGCTACCCCTCCCCCCCACACACATGCACACATGCCACAGACCCCGCACACTCAGACACCCTCCCCAGACACACACACAGAGGCATTTCTACACACCCACATACATCCACGTCCTGGTAAGAGAACAATAGTGTGCAGGTGGTCACACTTCCTTTTTCTGCAACAAAACAAAACAAGACAAAATAAAAGCCAACAAAAAAAAATTGAGAACAAGACTAGAAGAGTAAAAGATCAAGGAAAAAAGAATACCAAGTTATATTTCGTTAAGGTGCTTATGATCCTAGAACTATGCAACCTAATAGGTTTGAAACTGTTTACCTGAGAGAGAACAAAAAGAGAGACTTTTTTGTATTGGAAGTAACCTGATTAATTTTTATTTTCTTCAAGGAGAGATACTTGAAAGGAATATGTTTGTCCATGTGTTGGATCCAAACATTTCTATATTTTGTAAATGTTGTGTTTTCTTTTTATTGTTTACTATTTGCACTACAATGGTGTTTGACCTGTCCAATCCTTATTTAACAAGTATTTTCTTTGGGTGGGGGTGGGAGGGTTAAAAGCTGCACTTAATGTGAGCTATAAAAGAACTGCTACAGCACACAAAATAGCTATTTTTATTATTATAATTATTATTATTATTTTGTACCTTAAAAATAGACACATACACCAAAGACATTTGTGTGAGCCTTTAAACAGTCTGTCTGTGGTTGGTTATCATTCACCATCAATGAGTCAGGGGTTGAGATTCAAGGTTGAGTAGGGTAGATTGTGTTCAGGCCTAAAAGACCTGAGAAGTTTGATTTTTGACTCCTTTTATATCCATGAAACAGGACATTTCATACTGGATGTACAGTAGTTGTACACTGTTGGATATCAAGTTTAATCAAATTCATGAAATGCTACATGCTTGTATATGTATATATACATTGCTTGTGCATATGCATATCTGTGTGTATATATACATGTATTACATCATGTCCATACACATTTTAAGCACTTCAGGCTGTCATTTTTTAATGTTTTTAAAGAAATGAATGTTTGTGTGCAAAACACAGTATTTTTAAGAAGGAAAGGTTATAGTTTTTGTTTTTACTCTGAACTAGGTGGGCACATTTCAAAAAATTTGTTGGGAAAAAGCCTGGAAATTCCAGGGAATATTCAGCAAGGCCCTCTTTCAATGTACAGAGATCCCCTCCTCTTCCTTGTCCCCCATTCCCATCCTACAAGTTATTCCCTGCTGGAAAAACAGGAAACTCCTGTTCATCAAAGCTCTAGGCTGATTTTATTTTTTGCAGTTTATATTTATTATCTATTGGAATCAATCTTAAATCAGAAGCTTTTCCAGAAAAAATATTTAATTTTTAGTCCAGAATAAAAGAGTTAAGTGCAATTTTTAAAAATGCTTAAGGCCTGATTGTGAGAAATATTTGGGCTAAGTAATGTCATCACTAGTTAAAAGATAAATAATTTGGGAGAGGGTATTAAGAGAGTAGAACTAAGGAAGAGAATAGTTAAGAGGAGGCAGGAATGGGAGCAGGAGTAAAAACCCCTAGTATAGCCCAATTTCTTGATGTATAAGTTGGTATGTATTAATTCAGATGCAAATATCAAAGTACATGCTTAAAGCTAAATTCTTACTAGTTTATTCAACAGTATTTAGCTTGCCTAAAACATCTCTAAGTTAATCATTTATGTGCTTTTAAAAAAATACAGAGCCTTATTTTTACTGATTTGTTTGCCAAAATTTAAAAATGCTAATAATTGGGGAAAATTACAGTCATTAATGTTTTGTATAATATTGAAACCTCAGCCCTATGTCAATTCATAGGTTTTAAAAATAATTAACTGTAGAAAATAAAATATTAGTGAGAAACCAAATGTTACCAAAGGTGGTTTAGCTGTTGTATTAAATCAGTGTATGGTAACACTAGGCTGTATGTAGGCAAATCACTTTAATGCCATTACCTGGCAGATATACTTACTACACTGTAGACATTTACGATTTCTTTTGCAGGAAACAGCATGTACTGCACAAGAGTGGATTCTAGTTATGAGAGGGAGAGCATGCACAATTGGTGCTGACTTCCTCCCTCTTAACCACTCACCAGGAAGTCAGTCAGGTGGGGAAGTGGGTGAGGTGAGGAAAGTTTTAAGGAGAGGAGTAGGTGTCGATGTTCATATTTTACAAATTTTCATAAAAAAAAGTTGAATGTTGAGGGCCTTTTGAACTGCCTCTTATTTGGTACTGGACCAAAAATAGAGTGGGAGAGTGGGGAACCAAGTGCTAGTTCATTATGCAATAGCAAAGATGACCAAGGCCATGGATAAAGCAAGAGGTTACAAAAACAGTTGACATACATGCCATATGGAATATATATGCCATGTTTTTAAGCCCTTTAAGTCCTCAACACATTGGGGGTGAGAGGGAGTTTTGCTTGGTGGCCACAGTAATTATAAGCAGAGCAAAATGAGATTCCATATGAGAATATTTTAATGGGATGATTTATTTTAAATTAATTAGGTTATCGCACACTTTTAAACTTTAACCTATTTCATTAAATTTAAATGGCCTTGAAATAGAAATTGCTAATACCTTTAATAATCTTGGAAGATATGCAGCCTTGTGAACAACCATACTTTTCATGTAGCAGCATGAGACCAAAAGAAAAAGCTTTTAAATTCTACCGTATTGGGTTTTTCATAGTATGTTTTCCTTGATCTAATCTTAGCATCTCTCCATTCTTTCTCTAGAGCTAATTTCTAGGCTCTTAAAAATCTACCCACACCAACTTTAAAAGCTCTGAAAAGCATTTGTCACCAAATATCTTTGAAGAATGGCAACTATTTTGTACATTGCATTGGAACTTTTGCTCTTTTGCTAAAAAGTAAGACGAGTTTCAGCACACTGAGTTGGAATTTTCTTGTCCCTGAAGACCAATCAATTTCTTATTTATTTAAGATTGATTCCACACTCTGTTTTCAAGGAGAGCGCCCGCATTCTCCTCTTCTGTAGAGCAAGGGAACTTTTATTTCACCCCCATGGGACTGGACCTTGAGGTGGCTCTAAAAAATGAGAACTAAAACGCCTCAGTTGTACTGAGCTTAGATTCAAATGATCATGTTCACTTGAAAAAAAATATTTCCTGTGGGCCTTTTGGCAACTCCCCTTTGCAATGTAAAGAAAAACTTAGTCACCCTGAAAACCTACACAATAAATGAAACTTGTAGATGTGGGCAGAAGGTTTGGGGGTGGACATTGTATGTGTTTAAATTAAACCCTTTGTCACTGAGAAGCTGTTGTATGGGGTCAGAGAAAATGAATGCTTAGAAGCTGTTCACATCTTCAAGAACAGAAACAAACCACATGTCTCAGCTATATTATTTATTTTTATGCATAGAGTGAATCATTTCTTCTGTATTATTTCCAATGGGTTTTACCCTCTATTTAAATGTTTTGAAAAAACAGTGCATTGACAATGGGTTGATATTTTTCTTTAAAAGAAAAATATAATCATGAAAGCCAAGATAACCTGAAGCCTGTTTTGTTTTAAAAGTTTTTATGTTCTGTGGTTGATGTTGTTTGTTTGTTTGTTTTTATTTTGTTTATTTTTTTGACATACTACATGCAGTTCTTTAACCAATGTCTGTTTGGCTAATGTAATTAAAGTTGTTAATTTATATGAGTGCATTTCAACTATGTCAATGGTTTCTTAATATTTATTGTGTAGAAGTACTGGTAATTTTTTATTTACAATATGTTTAAAGAGATAACAGTTTGATATGTTTTCATGTGTTTATAGCAGAAGTTATTTATTTCTATGGCATTCCAGCGGATATTTTGGTGTTTGCAAGGCATGCAGTCAATATTTTGTACAGTTAGTGGACAGTATTCAGCAACGCCTGATAGCTTCTTTGGCCTTATGTTAAATAAAAAGACCTGTTTGGGATTTATTTTTTATTTTATGTCTTATTGGTTTTCCAAGATCAACTTTGCACACATATTGCTACATCCTCTTCTGGGTTATAATTTTGTTTCTACTGTAATTATATGGAAAGAGTATGAGAAACAGATTGAGTGGGAGAGAAAGGACAAAAGCTAGAATGAGAGCTCATATAGAAAAAGAATACATATTGCTATGCAGAGATTTGTAATGGGCTCAGATGCTTGACCAGCAATATTTATATTCATTTTGTTAATTTCCCATTTCTCAAACTGTAGTGGCAAGTAACATGAAATAGAGACTTTCACCCTTCCTCCCTCCCACTCTCTTTTCGCCTCCTCTTTCTCCCTCCTTCTTCCTCCCTTCTCTTATTTCTTTCTCATTTCCTTTCTGGCTAGAAATCTGGAATTATACAACAGAGCAACTAAAGCTAGAGAACTAGATGCACAGGGAAAAAAGTACTGGGACCAACAGGACCAATTTGAAATCACAGAAGTACAGCCAATAATGAATTGATTGGCCAACTTTTTCTTCTATAGGTTTTTCTCTAGAATTTGTGCCTTTCCCAAAGGTTTTTACTGAGAGACTAAATTTATAAATGCTCAGATGAACCAAGCATGTGCCCAGTTTTTTCTTTTTTCATATATCATCGTTTTAACTACCCTGGACAGTAGATATTGTTATCCCGGCTTTTACTGATGTATCTGAGGCATGAAGTAACATTAATTGGAACTAGGATTCTAAATCAGATCTATATTCAATTCTAAAGTTAATTTCCTTTTTGCTGTTTCATGCTTCCATTTTGTGATAATCTTCTTTTCTACTGAGAAGAAAAGGAGGGGAGGGAGGAGTTGAGTGTTGAACATACTGCTAACTTTTTAACACAAACAGTTTATACTCACCAGATAGTTCACTTGTACTTATCTCCAAGTGAAATGCCAAATTCATGTGAATTTATACTAAATCCCTTTTATTTGTTTTATGTAGAAAAGTTCCAGATTTAAAAAAAGAAAAGAAAATGGAGTTGTTATAGTTTTGCTTTATATTTATTAACTTGTCTTATTTTTCTGTTCTTATATTTTGCTAGAAGATATCTTTTGTCCAAAAATATTTTACTTTATGGGCCCTGTGTGTGTGTGTGTGTGTGTGTGTGTGTGTGTGTGTGTTGCATGAGCACATGAATTAAATGTCATTTCCTGCTAAGTTTAAAAATGAATGCATTTTAGGGACTAAGTAAAAATTCCACTGAATCACAAATGAGTAATATTATTAGGAAATTTATATGGATGTTATTGTAATGAAGGCAAAAATAACAAAGAAAACAGTTGAGGACAGGTATAGAAAAATTTATGAATATCTACTCATAGTATACAATGCATATATGTTATATATGTTACATGCCTAACATATATGACATATAGAGAGAATATGTCATCATTTAAAGGAAAATCTAAATCCAGTTCATATAGAGGTTTAATCCTTTCCAAGAAAATATTTGTCTGGGGATGTGTCCAAACAAAAGGACTAGAGCAGTGCAAAAATTCCTCCTTGCATAAATCAAGTACCAGCTTCTTTAAAAGAATTCTGATGTTTCTGCATTGATACAATTTTGAGTCTTCTCTTGGTCGGTGAAAAGGCAGAATTCATTAGAAATTCTTCATTACACCCTTTCAGGCTTTAAATGTCATCTAATTAGTGCCTACAGTAATTAAAATAAGAAAGGCAAATTGTTTATCCACCAGCAAAGAACCAAGAGCTGTTTCAAGACTTCTTAGAGCTGTTTCAAGACCTTTTAGAGCTGTTTCAAGACTTCTTAGATCTGTTTCAAGACTTCTTAGATCTGTTTCAAAACTTCTTAGAAATAGACCATCTGCTCCACTTAACTATGCCCACTTTCAAGAAGAGCCTGTACTCCTAGGAGTTCCACCATGACTTTGATTCACTGGAGGGACAACAGAAAAATACTTTTCTTGCCAAAAACTTGGCAGTTAAAAATCTGAAAATGGTTCTGGAAAATATTAGACCAACTAAATAAAAATGATGAATTTTTATAAAAAACTGACTTCTGGTGGGAAGAAGTTAGAGGAAATGTTGAGAGAAGGGCCAGTCACTGTCAGAAAGGAGCATTGACAAAGCCACCCAGGGTCAGAGTTAGTTTGTTGCTGTGATTCCTGCTGCTATGGTGGTGGAAGTGCCCGCATCACTGTCATGTGGGAGGACATGCTGTAAGACAAATACTGTAATGTGGCAACAAAGACCCCATCTAATATGTCTTTCATTAATGAGGTTGTCCCAACGCAGTTCAGGACCACAGCCTCGGCCATTTGAAAGCTTAGTACTCACATGGGATAAAGGCATTCATTATGGGGAAACTCTTCTATTGTGAAAGAAAGAAGAAAAGAAAACTGAACACTGCTAATCTATGCCAGAAACAGCAGGCCTAAGGCAGGAGGATGACAAAGCACTGGGCTTCAAAGTGTTTATTGTGCTAGAGCTTCCAAGCACTTTGAAGACAATCATCAAACCCTTCTAAATGGAACCAGGGACTGCCTTCTCACCATTGATCTCAGGAACAAATGTTTGTGTTTCATGGTCAATTTATTTATCCCTCAAAGATTCTAAGTAAAATTGTTGTTAAATAGGATATTTTTAAAGATAAAGCTAATTTTTCATTTGAGTAATCATATCCTAAACATGATTAAGTTGCTAACTACACGAAATACCTTGATATGGTATGCCATAATACATTTAGTAGCTATTATTATGCCAAATATTATGGGGTTTACAATTCGGAAATCAACTAACCCTTATGGTCTCAAAATAGTGACTTTTTACTAGTCTCCATAGGATCATAGACGGGCCCATGCTGCCATAAAGTTACAGATTGAAACATGGAGCAAGCAAATGTAGTCCCTTATTTTTTTTGGACTTGGGGTAATAAGATATGAATTACATTGAAAACTCTAGTTAATTGGACTTACAGAATCATTCATTTAGCCACTATAGGAAAGCAGAGGACTCAAGAGTTTTCTCCAAGCTCAACACTGCCTAGTAGGTAGGGTAGCCCGGTGACTGCTTGAAAGATGAATAAATAGAAAATACTAGATGGCCCCATCAAGGCCCTAGCAAGTCCAATATCAGCAGGTACAAAGAAGTGAGATAAGCATGCATTTCTTTTCCTAAGAGAGCCAGTTCGCACCCCGGGACCCGGGGCTAGCCCAGCTTACTCCTGCAACCGGACATTGTAGGGTGATCATACAAAGCTTTTATCTTTGCACTGTAAACATTTCACAAAACAGGAAATGCAATCTTAAATCCATTTTATATCTAACAAGCCCCCAGTTACAATTCTGACTAGATCCTTTCATCATCAGGAAAATTGGTTTTCAAAGTACGTAGTAAGCCCAGAATTGGAAGTACATGGATTAAGCACTGAAATTAAACTGTATGGAAAAGGAATCACTGTCAAATAAAACAGATACCTTTCAGGTGATCAAAAATGAGGAAAATGTAGATTAAACCCAGGCGTGGCAAGGGTGAGGCAAGGTGCTTCTCTCTAGCTTCAGTTGTGACAGATTTACCAGGAAGTAATCTGATAAATGCATGTACTGGCCTCTGGGAATCAAATTGCTAGAAGTTTCTTTTTGTTGCTTTCCTAAAGGAAGAACAGGTGCCTAGGGGAATCAAGGTGGACAAAGCTGCGCCCCCCACCTGTCAGAAGAACTTGGGTCTAGATCTGTGGAGAAAACAGCCACAGGCAGAAACGAAAGAAACCTTTATATAAAGGACTCTGTGCAGAGGGAGCACTCCTTTGGTTCCCAAGTAACACACTGTGATATTATATGGGAGAAAGAATCCTTTTCCACAATTATGAATTGAAAACAGCATCATGGGTACTGAATAAAAATGGGTCAACAGCAAATAATAATGCCTTTCATTAATGAGGTTGTCCCAACACAGTTCAGGACCACAGCCTCGGCCATTTGAAAGCTTAGTACTCACAGCCATGAAAAATAGGACCCTCACCAGATGTTGGCATTTGCAAGGTGATGTCTGGAGGCAGTGGCCGTGTGATGGATCCCCATTGGAGACTTGGAAGAACCTAGAGAGGCCTTGGAGGAACTGAAGCTGACTAGGCACTTTCTGGGCATGTGTGAAATGCCTGAGTTCCCAGCACAACTGAATGAAGTTCAGGGATGGGCTATGGAGTCTACTACTATGTTTCATCTTTGAGAAGATGGGACAAGAGCTCATGAAAGTTGGCATATTTCACTTAGTACAGCCCTCTCTGCTCTTACATCTTTGTAAGGGTGGAGAAAACACAATTTACATTAGAATTGTATATGGAGACACGGAAAAGTGTCCACAGGAAATATTTGAACCCAAATTCAAACAAGTCACAAAAGTATTTATCTTACTAATGAAAAATCTCTAAAGGCAACTTCTGACAAACTGGGATAGATTTTTAGATAAAAAATGAAGCCTATGAAATAATATCTATGAATAACTAGAAGGAAATACTTAGAAAAAGAGAGAGGCAGACTTGGAAATAGTCCTTTCTGTGTAAGGGCGCCCGAGAGAAACTACCTACAATGTGAATGGTTTACAGCACATTTAACAAACTCCTAGAAAGGCATTGTTATTTGCTGGGTATGATTCTGAATGGTTTACACCTTGTAAGAAATCTATGAGGTAGAGCTTTTGCTTCTACCTTTTAGAAGATGGACCACAGCCACTACTTCACAGGTAAGAAAACTATGGCACAGAGCAGTTAAATAACTCATCCACGGTGAGATGCCGAGGATGCAACAGAGGTAGGGCTCCAACCCAGGGAAGTTCTGCATCAGCCATCGCTCCCTCAGCTATATATTCTATTACCTTTCCACCAAGAGCACAATTGCTGTTTCCTCATAGTTCTACTGGTACCACACAACTGTCTTCTTCCACTTCTGCATATAGATTGCATATTTATAACTGATACAACCAACTGCTTTGTTAGCTGGAACCCTG